TAAATATCTTTAATATAAAATCTAAAGATATATATATATATGATTAATTTTCAAATGCTTTTAAAAGTATGATGATATGATATGACGATTTAAATAACGTAATATTTCGTTATATATTTCTAAATTATGTTTAGTCTGTTGAAATTAAAAGACTTTTATGAAAATTCTGTCAATGTTTCTTAATAAATATACTTAAGCACTTTCACTTTCATACTCATGGATAATTTATTGTTGTTAATATTTTCAAAAAATTCTCAATTCTAAAAGAACACATAGCGAGATAAATGTTTTGAAATAAAAGTAAATATCAAAATTATGCAATAGAAAATAATAAATTTCGAAGATTCGAAATAGAAAATATCTAAGTTACGTTAGAACACATAATCCACTATATAAAGTAGAAAATTTTTCACAAAATTTCTTTTGAAACTTAGAAACATAGTAGCTAAAGTGTTTAAGAAACACCATAAAAAGTATTAAAATAAATTTTGAAATGTCTGATTTTTATTTCAAATGGAATACTGTAGATTTGCCGAAAACTATAATGTTGGAGCTTTTTATATAATCGTAAAATATTTGAAAATACCTCATACTCTGTGAGTTTATTTTAATAGAAAAATCGTGTTCTATATTATATTTATGATAAACTTTTATGACATATAACAAAAATATATGTTGTTTTAATTTCATTGTGCTATAAAATATTTTAAAGTGATGTTGTATAGCTGTGATGCAATTCTTATTAGAAAGAAGTAAAATTTATATCTAAATTCCGAGTAATTTATTTTTGTTTTATTTTTACGTATTTGAAGAATTGTTTTTCTTTTCTTTTTAATGCAATTAGAATGTTTTAGTTAAATGTAAAATCTAGAATGTACACAAATTAGGCAATTTTTTCTTTATTACAAAAAAAAAAGTCAAAATGCCATTAAAGCATATAAATAGTGTATATGATGTTTATAAATTGAATGTGAGAATAGAAAGAATAGTTATATTTTATTCAGAGTCCATCTTCTTTTGTACCCTCTAAAGTATTGATGTATGTGATTATATATTCTTCTTGAAATATAACGTTGTTTAAGAAGATAATTTGACCTCCGAGTTTATATTATTTTCTTTCTTAACATTTTCCTTCACAATTGATTTTTTCAAAATTTTTAATTATGAAAATAAAAATTTCATTTTGTCGCAATATTAATAAGGTGAAGCGTCATGTTTCCTACCAATTTTAAAGATTAAAATATTCATAAATATGAGAAACATTTTTACCTGTGAATTTTAAAAAATTCGAATTTTTTTATCGTTATTATAATTAGAATTAAAACGTCAAATTTACTTTATGGTATTAGTTAAATTCAATATAAATTTTCCTAAATTTGTATGTTATTTTATAGTTATCGTGATTTTAAGCCTTTCGAAAGTATGTATTGTCAATGGCAGTTTACAATAAGGAAAATTTTTATATGAAATAACTCGTAATCGTAAGTGTCCAAAATATATATATCAATGTATATGTATAGGAACCGATAATTTTACTTAATTAATTTTTGGGATCTATAATACCTACTGTAAGTCGATGTATCTTTAATTTTTAATAGAAAATCAAGTAACATTAAAGTTGACGTACTATCACCAAAATGCTCCATATAAAAGACAATAAGATAGTATATAGAATCACTATTCCTTTGGGATGTCAAAGTAAGTTACATCTTCGAATTGTAGTCTATGGATACCGATTTTGAAATTGGCTGGAGAGAGTTGGGATCATGACGTCTGATAACAGCAAGTCAATGCCTATTTGACTGAATATGAGCCAAATTTTATGAATAGTAACATATGAATGAAGTTATGATTTTATAAAAGTAATCGTTCAACGTAACAGTAGTTTATAAATACTAAATAAAATTTATTAAAAACGATAGATACATTTCTAGCATTAAGAAAATTAGATTTCGTACGATATTTGAATGACATCTTTTATTCTTTTATATGAAATGAATAATAAATATCCATGACTGAACGAAATGACTAATCTTCAATGTTTAGTTTTTAAGTTGTTTATTATTGCTTGGCAATCAGGTTAATTGATAGTGCACGTGGAAATCATAATGACTCGAAATACAATATTAAAATATATGTATTATATCTTTGAACTATTTAACAACAAAACGATAATCCCGTAGAACTAGCGTATATATATATATATATATATATATATATATATATATATATATATACACATAAATAAAAATAACATTATTAAAGGTCTGACCATACTATTTTCTCTCTACTTAAAAAATATTCAAGTAAGAATACTTAATTGTAATATTCAAAATATTTAAAAAAAATTATAATTTTTTACATTGACTGAATATGTTTGAAAACATGAATGTGTTTAAAGAAATGCTCAATGTCAATAATTTGTTAAGATAAGTAACGTATTGGAATTATAAGAGTTCTATAATTGAAAGATAATTTATATGAATTAGAAAAATTTTAATTATAAAATATTGCTATTATAAGTATGTATAGTGTAATAATATATAGGTATATTATTGTGATAGGAAAAGAATTGTAATTAGATTTCTAAGGTAATTCGATCTTCTAAATCTTGAAAACTAATGTGTTTTTATTTGATAGATTCAACTTTTCTAATTTTATCATACTGCTTTAGATAGCGCAATTTTCATTCTTGTTTATGATATTTGATAATAGTGATAATATAAATGATAACTACATCAACCTATATAGTTAGTGATATTATAAATTTAATACACACACGTGTTATTATTTATGCTATTAAACTATGAAAGGAGTGTCATTAAACCAAGAAACTAAGAGAGTTTAATATTTACCTGGATAAACAACTAAGAAATTTTTTAATAACCTACATTAGATTAAATTATCTATATTTTTTGCATTTTTAATAATTTTTTCCCTTATTTATATTATACGAACCATGTTATGACATTCAAGGGTGAATGCATTTTATTTTATCTATGCAAACAATTTAATTTGAAGAATAATTGATTGTTAAGATTAACTTAAACTAAACTTCACTACGAAATTATAATTAATTTGAGTGCCCCGAGTTGTATACATCACCTTATCAGTCAAAACTGGAACCAACCATCAAGTTGTTAAAAATGTGCACGTAATATATGGAACAATGTAACTGCCTTCGCGTATACATTTACTTTCACATATACGGCAATCCTTTGAAATGAGCACACCGATAGTTCACAGAATTGTACAATTCCATTCCGGAACAAGTAAACGACTAGCGTATTCTCGGTTAGGTAGATGATTTCGAATCATCCTTCTCACTAAGCTTATTAAATTGCATATGCGAACAGCATAAAGGAACTATACTGGGATTATTATTGGTATATATTGACGAATAATTACTACGAATGAATGCTTTCAGCACCTGTAATACTGTGATAGTTGCATCATTTGTAAATTTTAAAAAAAAAAAAAAAAAAAAAAAAAAAAAAATGAATTATCAATTAAAGTAAGAGATTTTTTTTTTTGGTGAAAATATCGATTAATTAGAAAGAAAGTAATGTGTAGATTGTAGTTTCATTTATAATTTTTTTCTAATATTCTCAATCATTGGCTTAATAATGATACATTATTACATAGTCCAATGTACAAAGACTATTTTTCTCTTCATCATTTTCATATTGCAATTAAAAAATTTGATTAGCTTTATAATTATATAATAACAATAATAATAACAAGACACTGCACTACATAACAGCTGGAATATATCTGAATAATAAATACTAACACTAATTATTATTATATAGTTATTCGTTTAAGTAATATCTTTATAATAAATACATTTAAATTTTATACAATTTTTAGATTTAGTGCACATGTAACATAATATATCATCGAATAATTATAATTGCCTATAAATAGTGAAAATGGAGCAATGCAGAAAAATAGAATGCCAAATTTGCGTAACGAATTTTTATAATTTTAAAAGAAAAAAAAAAGTGCTAACCGTTAGCTTACAGCATAGAATAATAAATTTTTTTAAAGGCGTGAATAAAATTAAATATGTTCAATTAATTTTGTAAACTACACTTGTTTTCATTCTCTTTTTTGGCATGGTAAATCTGAAATTAGACCTAATTGGTACTGCATCGTTGAAATATTTTCAATCAATTTTATTGAAAGGTAAACTTAGAGGCAGGCGAATGATATATTTGTCTCAAAGCATATTATTAAAAAGTAACGTATTTTAAAATATTTACTTATAGAATGGAATTCATCACATTTTAAATAGTTTTAATTAAAGAAAAGTTTCGAAGAATTTTAGCGTAACTGAGAAACTTATTTTCAGAACTACCTACCATATGTGCATGTTCAACACTTATACGTCACGTTTACTTTATTATAAGTAAACACTGAATCTTTAATTAATAATTAAATATTCACTGTGAATACGACCGACCGAAAGTGTGTAAATATTTTAGAAGGACATTAGAACTTCGTATTCACGAGTTTGTATTATACTGAATTTATTTTGGGCGCTATTATAATAAGGGAACTGTCACTTAGTCATTAGATGTTAAAAATTGTATATAACATAATATAGTGCCCATTTGAGGTTTATAGTATTTATAAAATGTAAATAATTATTAAAATTATTGAGCAAAATTAATGCGCGAAAGATTCTTAATATTTTCAAAAACTGATGAATAATATTAATTCTATTGTAATATGAAATTTTTTAGTAATGCGTTTTAACGCATATATACTTATATGCATTATAATAGATGATATATGTTTGTATTCTACAAAGATATTATAAACTTTTTCAAACAACATAATTAATAACAATAGATTTATGATATATATATATATATATATGAAATTGAAATATTTTTATACATCTTAAAATGACATTGATGAATTTTACTTTAATTGGGCTTCTAGTGTTATCTTCATACGTATTAGATAAAAATGAGTAAATTTAGTAGTATAAACTATACAAGCATGGCGTCATTGCCCGTCACTTTGCACTCGTTATCCATCTTTTACGATAAAATTTATTTCTTATCCACGTTTGCAAAAAAATATATTATACACCAACTATTTATTTAACTTTGCCCTTACATTTGGTCTATAAGAAAAAAATATTCACGCGCAGAAGCCGCTTTGTATTTACCTCGATTCTTTTGATTGATTTGTTGCTGTTGTTGGTGACATTGATTTGCACCGTAATTGAATCCCCATGATTGTAAGTTGCCCGATCAAGACTGGCCTCGAGCCTAACTCGGCCGTCGGTTAGCAGAAATTGCTTTTCCACCACTGCGTGAGGAATTGGCGAATCTGAAAACGGAAAGTAAAAAAGAAAAAGAAAAAGAGAAATACGATCTCTGATTTGTCGGCTTTTCTCCTGTGACTAGATACAAATGGGCGGCGGTGGGTGGTGAATGGGGGAGAGGGAAGGGGACAAAAAAAAAAAAAAAGAAAACAAAAGAAATGTGTTTGCGTATCGTATATTTTCGCTCGAGTAAATATTAATATTGCTGAACTCTTGTCGCGTCAATCTGTGCATATAAATATATATATTTATATAAAAATATATAAATATATGTATATAAATATAAATATATATATATATATATATATATATATATATATATATAAATACATACTTCCCTTATTTTCCCGTTTCGAGAGACTTTTGCTCGGCCATTTCTGCTCACCTTATTCGAATATTTATGTATTCGGTAGTAGTGTTTTTTAAAAAAGAAAAGTTTATAGCGTAATTTATATAATTTACTTCAATAAAATTATATTTGAATAAATTTCATTGGGAAAGATTTTCAGATACTTTTTATCTTGGCATGATTTTGGACGGCGCAGCTAAAAATAATTACTCTTGACATCATTTAAATATAAGTATTGGCTTTTAATTTACTCCCTATATGAAAGTTTTTATTATGGAAACAATGAATTGATTCTTAATTAATAATATTACAAGTAGTGAAAGTAATGTAATTTTTTTAAAAATTGATATTTCAAATGAAAATTAATTCACTATTATAAATTTAGTTTTTTTTCTTACTTAATGAAAATATTATGCGATGGATATTAATGAAACTCCGTAAAATTAATTTTATCATTATAAATCAAAAGCTTTATATATTTTATATAAACCATCCAATTATTCAATAATTTACTTTTAAATAACAAAAAATAAAAATTTATATATATATATATATATATTTAAAAATTATAAATTAAAAAATTATATACACTCGCACACGCACACGCACGCACACACATCATGTATTTAATTATGTGCAAGTTGGCTTCCGGGTAGTTGTACATCATATTATTCCTTATGTATGAAATTTTATTTAAGCACGAGAGAAAGATATTCACCTTCCCCAGCCTTTATTTCAATTTTGTCCTCGGCACTGCTGCTTTTTTTGTCCAATTGTGATTTGGCGCTGAGTAATGGAGACGTTGTTCTTGTTCCAGGACTTGATTCAGTTGCGCTTGGAAGGTCGTAAATGGAATTTTTTGGCGGAGGGATTGTGTTGGCTCCTTGAATCACTCGAATTCCCATTCGGATGAGTTGCATTTTTCGCGTTAATTTTTCATCTGGTCTCTCGGCTGTAACATTCAATAATACTTACAGTTAAATACATATACATTTATATATATATAAATACTTACATATATATATATATACATATATATATATATATATATATATATATATATATATATATATATATATATAAATTAATTGACTTTGACAGAAATTCACGCTTTTTTTACACTTTTTAGATTTACTTTTATTTCTAAACAACATGATACTTTTATTACTTATATGTACATTTAGAATTGAATAGTATTATTGAAACCGGATTTATGAAAATTTAACATCATATTTGTATGGAATAATTTGAATAGAATATGGGCGTCGATGAGATAGAAAGTAATCTTTCGATTAATTCTTTTTCACATAAGTTTTTCCTTTATTAGTGTAAGATGCAACTCGACAATCGCATTACATAATAGGGTCGCATCGTAGATGGTTTGTGCGTGTTTAGAATGTGTGCTCCAATACCTCGTGATGTCTTCATGTATTGGTACGTGGGAAAAATCGTAAGCTAAGCCCGAGGTAACGTAAACAGAGCTAGTGAGCGATAACTTCGAGTTCAGATTAGATGATTTGATAGAAGAAAATTTTACACATTCACTTTATTGAATGCGATAATACACGAAAACCAATTTCAGTATCGTCACGTGAATTTTTCGCAAAAATTTAACCTACTGAAATTTACTTTAGCGCATATTGAACTAAAATTTCACTTGATATTATCGGTAACTAAGAAGAGCATTAAATTGTAGATTAAATACATTAAAAAAAAAAAAAAAAAAAAAAAAAAAATAAAAAAAAAGGAATGCGAGAAAGTAATTTGTATTAACTGCTGAAATATGCTCAATGGATTAAATTTTGTTTTACTATTTTACTTGGCGTTAATCATTTCAAATACTTCATCCGAATATGATGTACAATAATATGGATTACAGCCAGTTACAAATATTGCACATATTTTATCTATTTCTAAAAGATTAATAGGATTGTGCACAGCTTTTACATAAATGTAAAAGCTCTTGTAATACAAAATAGAAATTGTTCGAATGCACGAATACGGGGTAATCCACGAAATTCCATGCTAAACACGGTTCATTATTTTTTGTCGCAATATAGAATAAATTTATGATGATTAAATTCGATGATTTTCATCGATCTTATCTACGCCCAGGCTTAGATTACAGCCACTTCCTCTAATAAGGCTAATCTCGATTTATACATGAGAAAGATTAAGGCGTTTAGTCACGGATAAAGTGGGATGATTTGCCGGTATCATATCATTTACAAAGCTACATCAGATTATTGAAATATCAACAAACGCTGGTAGCAACTAATGAGCTTACAAATCTATTGGCATATTAAAATAAAGGCTAATTCGCTTTTATATTTTGTTGCCTATTAATAATTTAAGTCATTCAAGTGAAACTGAGACCATTTAAGAAAATACTATAAGAATAAAACGGTTAATGAAATTATCGAGAAGAAACTCATTCTTCTTCCGTTAGGAAATTATCCTAGAAAATTGTCTTTTAAATTTTTTTTTCCCGATACATATACAATATGCCTATCATGGTTATATATATTATTTATTATTTTACATTTTTCGTTTTAATAATTGCGACATTAATGGGACCTGCAATACATAAGATTATTATAATACTCGTCTGAAGTAACAATATTACGGGATTAAGAATAATTAATTCATCAAAATATTCAGCACTTTATTCGTACGATTATTTTCACAATACATATAATAGAAAAGTAGTTATATAATCATTTATTTTTAAAAAGTAGTGAAAAAATTAATTCTCTCAATTAATTTCATATTTAACATTTTAGTATTATGTATGTTTAAAACAATTTTATATGATTAAGTCTACAGCATATCAAATATTCACAAAATTAATCTGAAAATTATGATTTCAAAAACAAGACGTTGAAAATTACATTATATCTTGTAGTCGGTTTAAATTTGTTAACAATACTCTTGATATTTTTATATTTTATAGTTACCCAAGTCATACGAATAAATAGATTTAAAAATATTCTCTGCGTGGTATTTGAAAAAAAAGTACAATTCATTGATATAAAAAAATGAATGCATAAATTTTAATAAATGTACTTAAATAGGTGATGAAAATAATATTATCAGGATGAAACATATTAGTCACTAGCAGATATTTCTAAAGCATAAGATGAGAGATGTTAAAAATATCTTTTTTATTATGCAAATTAAAAAATATTTCGTTAAAAAACGCCAAAGTAATGGAGTAACCTGATAAAAATAGTATACGGTAACATGATACTAGATAAAGCGCTTTCTTTTTAAATCAGAAAAAATAAAATGTAAAGATAAATTATTAGAATATGATAAAAAGCTTGATAATATTATTGATTTCAATACCTAATACTACAATTATTATTATTATTATTATTATTATTATTATTATTATTATTATTATTATTATTATTATTATTATTATTATTATTATTATACAATAATGAAATTATGTGCATAATTAATTAATTATATTTTGAAAATTCTTTTAAGTACGTTAATTAATTGAAAAGAACGAAATTAATTTAATTAATATTTAAAAGGGTTTTCAAATTTAATTAGTTTAATTTTTCTTTCTTATAATAAATTATATTCCATTATTCTACATGCTATACATAAAATGTATTTATACTATTTTGAATTTAAAATGAAATCAGTACACGAAAGAAAGACATATGATATGAAAAAGGAATCAATATTTTATTCGTGATTTTTCGTCTATAAATAACATACCGTAAGTGTAAATTTTGATCGTTAAATAAATTGGTAAAATATTCATTATCCTGAATGTATAATAATAATACGTTTTTCTTCATCAATTGAATTGTGTATTAATGAGTTACCTTGTAATTATCTTGGGTGCCTTATACTCTGATCACAATACCGATCTAGTTTACATTGTTTCATATTCAAACATAATATCTTAAGTATTTATCGTAATACCAAGTTTAAAAAATTATTTAAATAATTTTAAGTAATTATTTTCTGTATTTTATTAAAGTTTTTGTAACATATTTTTAATGAGAAAGGGTATAAATTAATCGAACTATATGCAACTGTAACATATCACATTTATTAATAAGTATATCGTAAAATTTCTAAAGGCTTACAGTTTTTTTCTTTTCTTTTTTTTTTTTTTTAACAGGCTTATACAAATATTTAATTTAATGTAAAAATTCGAGATAATTCATATAATTCCGGCAAAACCAACTTTCAACGAAATACGTATGGAAAGATTATTTAAGATAGTACATATTTTTGAAAATTGTACAAATTCATTTATGCGCAAATAAATTAAAATATGAATTTTAAGATTATGAAGTCTCCGTGAACAGCAATATTTTGTAATGTTGTATTTAAATTTCTGAATACGAGAATACTGAATAGTATCAAGTAAAAAATATCTTACTTTTTATTAGACTATAATTTTAATTGATCAACTCTTTTGAAAATAAAAAAATCCTTGCATTATTTTGTCTGATTATGCGCCTTTTTAAGATAAAACTTGTTGATTACTGTAATAAAGTAGATGCCGAGTAACAAGAAATTCTGCCTTGCCAAAGGAATTAAAATCAGCTATTATTAAATTATTCAAAAGTTAAGTAAATATATTTATATTAATATGAATAAATTTTTTTTATATCTTAATATTATCCTGTCTAGAGATTTTTATGAATCCTGTTGTAATTTATATGTATAGATTTTCATAAATTATGTCGAATAGATATAATTGCAGAATGGACTTTTAAAAGAAAAATATGAGAATAATTTATTCTGTTTAAGTTATGAAACACAAAGTTATAATAATTAGTTATTGTTTAGGAAAATTTTTTTTTGTTTTTTTTTTGTTTTTTTTTTGTTTTTTTTTTGATATTTATTACAAGCTATTGATTAATAATTACATTAATATTATTATTCTCATAATATTGCAATATTTATATGAATTTTATTTTCTGTAATTAGTATATCGTTTCATCAATGACGGAGAATTTTCAAATGCATTCATTGAAATTATAAGCTGATTAAAAAATTGTAAAATAATATATGAAAGAAGTATAATTAAAAAATATCTGAATTTGTTAAGAGATATGCAAGTAAACATGTCATACAATATTTTATACAATTTGTATACGGATAATTGTTTAATTTTATAATATAAATTATGAGTGAAGTAAAATAATTAAGTATTCATTGCTCATTGGATAGTAAAAATTACGGTTTAATTATTAACTTATAAAAGTGCACAATAAATAAGATAAGATTAAAGTTTCATTTAACAAACTGCAATAATAAAAGTTCAATTTGGATTTTTCTAAACAATCTCCGTGGACAGATATTATTTTATATAATGCTACATCGAAGGTTCTGTTTAAAAGTTTTCATTTTTTTTTTTCAATATATGCGACAAGTGGAATAATTTTTGCGGCTTCTTTGTCCAAAGTTTATTCAAAGTCTGGTGACAAAAATACAATATACATGAGTATATTTCATAACAAAACTCTGCCAAGAAGAAATAAAGCGACAACTTTCCATTTTATCCTCTTTGAGCATGTTAAATATATTGGTTCAAGGATATAAAAACAAGAAATATTTTATGGCTAAAAATATGGTCTTAGTTGAATTTCACTTCTTTAATAATAATAAGAATTGATCATTAATAATTAACATTTATGCACGTATATTAGTGTTATATTATAGTTAAATTAATAAATCTGCTCAAATATAATTTTATTCTAGATTCTGCTTTGTCTCTTAAGATATTATATAAAATAAATGTATTATATATAATACAATATTATATATATATATATATATATATATATATATATACATAATATTGTCATCGATAAACTTGTATAAGAGAGTAGGGCACATCTGTTGCATTATTGCTGGCCAGAAACTAGCTGCTTCAATATGAATTTCTTTCATTTAAAATCTATGTGTTTAGAT